TGCAGTGCCTGCAGAGGTCAGAAGAGGGAGTTGGATCCCCTGGAACTGGAGTTATAGATGGTTGTTAGCCATCATGTGAATGCTGAGAATCGAACCTGGGTCCTCTGCAAGAGCAGTCAGTGCTCTTAACTGCTGGGCCATCTCTCCAGTCCCAACGTTTAACTTTTTTATTCCCTCTCTCTCCTCTTGTGAATTAAAAAAAATCTTTGGAGAAGGAGCAAGCAAAACTTCTGCCTACAGCATAATTGGGTGATATGATAGAATGTTTTTCTTACTAGAAACATTTGCATTTTATTTTAATAAATGCCTTAAATCATAGGACTAAAGTTCTAAGAATAGAATTTCAGGCATTAGGCCAGGCATGGAAGACATTTATTTTAGGTGAGAGAGAGGGAGGGAGGGAGTTGGGGAGAGAGGGAGGAAGGGAAGGAGGAAAGGAGGGAGGGAGGGCGAGAGATTTTGTGTGTGTGTGTGTGTGTGTGTGTGTATCCTTGGGATCCTGTCCCATGTATACCAGTCATCTCACTAAGGTTGAATCATTCAGTCATTGCATTCAAAGGACACTTGACCTGGCCATATTAACACAAGAACATTTTGTCAAAGGAACATTTTAATATATTAATGTATTATTTAAAAACCTATTAAGCTTCCACATTTTAAAAAATGATTATCAAGCAATGGTATATCACATAACCTTCATCTGTTCCTGGTCTCATTATTGCCCTTCATCCCTGACCCTTCCAGCTCACCATTGATGACTTGTGTCAGAGCTGACAAATCGACATGGCCCTGCATCAAAGATCCCACCTCATGGGCAATGGCTTCTATGCCCTGCCTCACTGCTCTGTGACCACCCTAGAGCTGATGGAATCTCATTCCATCTCTGTGTACCTCGCTGGTGCCTGCCCTGCTTTCTATTAGCTGCTGTATCCTTTGCGTCTTGGTGGTGGTTGTGGTGGGGGTGCTGTGTTAACGGATGGCAGTTTGTACCTTGGGGTCCACGAATGCCTTTGGGAGTTCATGAACCCTTGGAATCCTATCACCCAAATTTGATGAATGCACTCATGTTTTGTAAAGGGAAGTAGGGGGAAGTCTGGAGTTTGAATCAAAACTTCAAACGCTCCAGTGATGCCCAAATGCAAGAAATCTTTGGTTTGTATCACTGGGCTGCATATTCCAGGCCTAAAATATGTACTGTGGGGCAATGCCACCAGTTACCTGCTGTTACAACACACCCTATGTTTATATTATCACTATGGCAACCAGTTTATATAGCACATAATCTAATGTGAATTTTGAGATATGAACTATGCACATTGGAGGCAATCTTTAAGGACTAGACCAAGAAGTTACTAGGTTAATTTTGGGCAGAACCAAATAGTCCACATTCTAGGTAGTGCTTTATCCCCCTCTACAAGATTCTGAGAACTGGGTCTAAAGGGAAATACAGTCTCTGGCTTCCATGTGGTGATACAGACTCGGGAGAAGAGAGAGAAACCCCATAAGGTGCTGTGGAAAGTGCAGGGCGTGGAAATAGGGAAGTGTTTCAGTTTATCTGCCCATTGATCATGATCAAGTCCATATTTCAGTTGAGGCAGAAATCACTCGGCAGCCACGTGTTTCAAACTGAGGTGACTCCTCACTGCATAAAGGTCAGGAAAACCAATCTGCTGACACAGGCACTTCCCCTGGCCTCACACCCATTCTTGAGTCATTGTGTCTGTAAGACTCGACTGACACAAACACCAGGTGAATCCAACTGGAGAGAAGTGGGACACAGGGCGACATGGTGGAACAGGAACACTGGAGTCTGAGGCTTGGGGTTCAAGTCCCTGCTCTGAATTTAGACAAACTTAACGAGGTACTAGAAAACTAACTGATGCTTGATGAATGGAGTTGAACAGGCCTGACACAGAAAGCAGAAGTCTTTCCCTGAAAATGGTTGCCATTAACCTTGACCCTCACACTGAAGGTCTTCAGAACTTGTGTTTGGAGTCAGCTGTAGAGAGCAGCCTGTCAGTCATCCACGCATCTCATTAGAGTTGCACTCTGAGGTGCCCAACAAGGTGGCAACTTGCATCTAGAGGCCAGAGCTGTGAACCCAGCTCCTTCCAGAACAAGGAAGGAGTGGCTGCCATGGGCAGTCCAGGTGTCCAGGTCCTCTCAGGCTAGGAAGCAGGGATGCAGCAGGGCATCCAGACTGGCTTCCACAGTTTTCCATCTTGTCACTAGGTGGCAGCACCACCCCAGTCCTACCATCCTCATGGATCTGATTGTAATCCTGGAGTTGGACAGATTCCCCCAGTCCCTCAAGCCTGGCCTGTAGCTCTAGCCCTTGAGGCAGAGCAGGCAGATCTGAGTGTTATGTACACATTTAACAATGTGACCTTGGCAAATCAGCTGACCTCCTTTGAATCTGTTTATCTGTAAGAACAAATGTGAACAGGAAAAGAGGCCCATAGGAGTCTCGGCTACCTCACCGCAGCCCAATCCCCACCCCTATACAGCACTTATTTTTCACCTTTTTTTCTTTCACAAGTGCTCCAGTGCTTATTTCAGACGAGCACATGGAGGTGGAGGAGAGAGAAGGCCCATAATAGATTCCCCTGGAACTGGAGTTGAGGATGGTTGTTAGCCGCCATGTAGGTGCTGGGACTTGAACCCGGGTCCTCTGCAAGAGCAGTCAGTGCTCTTAACCATTGAGCCATCTCTCCAACCTTTCAGTCAGGTTTTTAACTAGGGTTACAGGTGCCAGATGTGAATTCCCTCCTGGGGATGGTCCTCAAATCCAGTCAGAAAATGATTGGTTATCTCTGTTACAGACTTGTGACTATTGCACCCGTGGGCACATCTTGCCTGCAGGTCAGTAGTGTTGTGCTCAGGGTTCACAGCTGAATAGGACTGTTGATGATAATTTCCCGTCAGCAGCCTACACAGCCCCTTCGGAAACTACGAACTCTAGCCTACAGGGTAGAAGCATCCAGCTCAGCACCAGCTTCATTTCTCTACATCCTGTGACCAGAGCATGTGGTCTTCAGCAACAGGGTCTTATCACCCAGTTTTGGTGGGCATTCAACAGTGGTGGCATTAGAAAAGAGACAATTCTTTAAAATATTTTTCTTTTCAAAATAATTTTTTTTTGAAATGGTCTCCATGTAGTCCCAGCTAACCTAGAACTTACTTCATAGACCAGGCTGGCCTTAATCTCATAGAGATCTGCCTGCCTGTGTCTCCCAAATGCTGGGATCAAAGGCATGAGCCACCATGCCCAGCTTCAATTTTTAAAAATTATGTTTATATGCGTGTGCCTGTGTGTATCTGTGCACATGAATGAAGGTATCCATGGAAGCCAGAGGTGTTGGCTCCCCCAGGAGCTGGGTTACGGGTGGTTGTGAGCCACCTGACATGGTTGCTGGGAACTGAACTTGGGTCCTCTGGAAGAGTAGTAGGTGCTGTTAATCATAGAACCATCTCCCTAGCCCAAGAGGCAATCCTTGAAAGGGAAATTAGGGTGCTTTACCGGAAAGAGGGATGTCTACCAGGTGACAGAAAAGTCACTCTAATCACCTGTATTCCAGTTTTGGGTCACAGTGCAGTGACACCCTGTCTTCTGCTCCTAGGTGATAGCCCCAGACAGCCAGATCTGTATCCCAGGAGTCTGTAACCTCCAGGTCATCAGCAGTCAGCCCTTCTTCCTCAGGAAATGTTAGTCACAGGACAAATTCAAGATCTTCAAACTGAAGTAGATAAGCCTTGAGTATATAGTAGTGAATGAATTTGTGATATTTTATCATTCTTTAATTCATTTATTAAACATGCATGTAAATAATAAGCACCTTCTCTGTTAGACATGAGGGATATAACAGTAAACAAGACAAAGACAATCTCAATCCACCCTTACCTGGGGGGTAATGAATAACCAATTTAGACAGCTAAATGCTTTTTTGTCTAACACTGGCCACCTCTAGGAGACTTTGCCCAGGTTATGGATGGATTAAAACTTCTATTTATTTTTAGTTTATGTGTATGAGTGTTTTGCCCATGTGTATGAGAGTGCACCAGGTGCATGTAATGCCCATTGAGGCCAGAAGAGGGTGTTGGATCCCCTGGAAATGGAGTTACAGATGGTTGTTAGCCACCATGTGGGTGATGGGAACCAAACCCAAGTCCTCTGCAAGGGCAGCCAGTGCTCTTAACTGCAGAGCCATCTCTCTAGCCCCACAAATGGTATTTTAAAAATATTATTATTATTATTTTTAAGACAGGGTCTCCTGTAGCCCAGGCTGGTCTCAACCTCACTACATAACTAAGGATAACTCTGAAGCCATGGGATCAAGAAGTTCTGGTCTACACTAGGAATCAACAGTGTTTCCCTAGCTGATAGCTGAAGAAAACATGAAGTGGGCTGGGAAAACAGATGGTTTGGCAGATAAAGTGCTTGTTGTGCAAGCCTCAGTACCCGAGTTCAGGTCCCCAGCTCCTACATAAAATCTGTATGCATCAGTGTGCATCCGTAACCCCATTGCTTGGCGGGGGGCATAGTTGAAGACCAGAGGATCCTAGGGGTTTCCCGGCCAGCCAGCCTATCCAAAATGTTCAAGTTCCAGGTTCATGGAAAGCCCCTGTCTCAAAAAATACGGTGGAGAGTGGTAGAGGAAGACACCAGATCTTGACCGCTGGCCTCTACGTAAACACTACCACATAGTGGGAGTCAATCAATAAAAAAGGGAGGCTGGGGAGAACTAACTCCTGAAAATTGTCCTCTGACCTTCATATGCACAACATGGCCTGCACCCCTCCCTAAATAAGTTTAAATGTTATAAAAAATTAAAAATAATAAAACCAACCAAACAAACCCAAACTCCCACAAATGTAGTGTGATAAAGCCATGCTTCTCTGGCCATTTAGTTGAGAATCATCTCATACACTGATAAAAGACCACTGAATAAACAGATGAGTGGAGAAAGCGGAAGGCACGTGAGCAAAGGAAAGCGCAAGATACAGCCAAGGGTGAGGGTTGCTGGGCTCCACCAGTGCACAGGGCTTGTTCCCAGAGAGAAGGGATAGGTTGGGGTATCAGGGTAGTGTGATGGGCTGATTGGCTAGGCACCGGAAGCTCTGTGATACATTTGAGGCAGGGTGTTTGTTGGAGGGACTGCTGTGTGTCTTCTAGAATGTTCAGCAGCATCCCTGGCCTCTACTTGCTAGACACCAGTAGCAGCTCTCTCTCAAGGTGTAATAACTGAACATGTCTGATGGCCCATGGTCAAGAGCTGCTGAGCTCATGGGAATGGCTTTATTTCCTTGTTTGGTTGTTTGCTTCTTTGACTCCTACAGTAAACAGGATGAGATTAAGCTGTAGAAGAACATCTCAACAGTGTGAGGTTTCCACTTTGGCTTAGAAGAGAACAGAACCTTGTATCAAGAGCGCATATCTTCACTATATTTCTGAAGCATTATCAGGGACCTAGAACCTGTTTTCTTCCTTTGTATGCATACATGATTTGCTCATGGTCCCAAGATGGTTGCTCCACAGCTAGCATTGCATCTGCCTTCCAGGCAAAAAGAAGAAAGGCATGTGTCAACTGCAGCAGCCTCTCTTTAAAGATCTTTCTCATAAGCCCTCCCTGGCAGTATCTGCTTCAACCTCATTGGTGAGAACTGTGTCACTCAAAAAAGTGAGATTCAAAAGGACCAAAGCAAACAAACAACCCCTGCCCACACAAACGGGAAAGAAACAAAACAAAATAAAAAGCCAGGTGCAGCAGCAGGCATCCATAATCCCAGTGCTTGGAAGGCAGAAACGGGAGGATTCCTGGAGCTCCGTAGCCAGATAGTCTAGCTAATACATGAGCTCAGTTCAGTGAGCGACCTTGTCTCAAAAAGTAAGGTGGAATCTGGGCATAGTGGCACACGCCTTTAGTCCCACCCAGCACTTGGGAGAGGTAGTTGGATCTCTGTGAGATTGAGACCCACATAGCAAGTTCCAGACCAGCTGGGGCTACAGGGAAACCTTATCTCAAAAAAAAAAAAAACGGAGCTGGAGCAGCGGAAGACAGAGGACTTGGGTTCAGTTCCCAGCACCCACATGGCAGCTATGAACCGTCCTTAACTCCAGTTCCAGGGGAATCCGAAGCCTTCTTCTGACCTCCCAGGCATTGCACGACATGGGTGCATTCACGTACATGCAGGCAATACACTCATACACATAAAATAAAAATAATAAAATATTTTTTAAAAACTTTTAAGAAAACAAAAAACAACAACAACAAAAAGGTGCTGGCTGCTCTTGGAGAGGATCCAGGAGGTCCAGTTCCTAGCACTCATATGGGGATCACGCACCCTCCTCTGACCTCTAAGGGCATTGCATAACATGCAGGCAAAACACTCATACACATAAAATAAAAATAAGTAAATTTTAAAAATTAAAAAATAAAGTAGAAAACAGTAGAGGAAGATACCCAAAGTGAAACTCTGGCCTCCACACACACGTGTACTAATGTGCATCCACACGCACAAATGCACATATGACATACACACAGGATTTTTAGGAGGGACACACCTCTGTTTCCTTCCTAGCCCTATCTCCCACTCTGTGTGGTACCACTTAAGGCCAGGGCAGACGTTGCTCATCGCCACGGTAAGAATTCCTTCAAACATCTCTGCATACATGGTGCAAACCTAAAGCTCCACCATTAAGAGCTCCTTCCTTTGAGTTACGCATTATGTCTCTAGGTAGGTCTTAACATGTCAGTCCACTCTGACAGAAAGTATGAAATCTTGCTGGGTGTGGTGATGCATGCTTATAGTGCCAGCACTCAGGAGGATTACAAGTTTGAGGCCAGCCTGGCTATATAAAAAGTAGCCAAACCAAATCAAACCAAAAACCTGTTTGGTACCTTAACATTAGACTCTCTGGAGCAACTTTGGAATGCTGAAACCAGTGCGGAGAAAGGAGCCAGGGCAGAGGGAGAGAGTTTACACGTCCCCCCAAAGAAGTGGGGCACCCATCTGTCTTTTCTCCGTCATCACAAAGCCACAGGCGTAACTGCAACATGGGCTGGAAATATTAATAAACACTGCTGGTAAGTTTTGGTCCAGCAGACGGCAACCCTGTGACCTTTGAGTTCACTTGTCTCCCTTTCTCTCCCCACCCACACTTCTCAACTTAAGGCCTGAAAATCTGGCTTTCTCGTAATTCGCTTTGACACTCACTCACTCGGAATTATACTGCTAGTAAGAAGCAGACGCCAGCAGACAGGGAAACAAGCATCCCCAGGAGCCCCAAGTCAAGTTGACTGGCAGCAGAGATAATGCTATTTTGTACCCATTGCTTGCCGTAGCCTGGGCTTTCCAAGGAGAAATTGCTGACCTACATCGGTAAGAAATTGTCCGGCCTCAGTGTGCCACCCTAGACTCATACACGAGGGCTCCCTTCTCTGGACTTGCCATGTTACAGAGACCAGCACTGGTCTGTCTCTTGCTGTACCCCTTCTGGTGTAGCAAGGGGTCCTGAGAACATTAGAGACACACCTACTATGAGCCCTCTGACCTTTGCAGTCACGCTCCATCTGACCAAGACAATGCCCTTTGCTGGCTTTCAGGGGCTTCAGCTCTTCCCTGGATTCTTTTTCCCAAGGTGGCCAAAAGATGTATAGATGGAACTTGATGTGGACAGGAGGAGCCAGGGAGGGATGAGCAGCACAGATAGGCTGCAGCCGGAGGCTGTCTCCCCTTCACTACCTATACTAATGACCTCTGTATGTGATCTCTGTACTCTGTCCCAGGCCATGAAAATGTTAGGGACAAACCTGACCCACAATCATATTTTGTTGGATCACAGAGTATTTAAGACTTGAAGCAGAGCATGGTGGTACGCTCTTGTGACTGGCACTTGGAAGGCTGAAGCAGGAGAATTGCCTCAAGTTTGAGGTCAGTACCAGGCTAGCCAGGGCTACAGAGCAAGATTCTGTCTCAAAATAAATGAACTCATAATCCTCAAAATTATGAGGCCGGGGCGTGACTCTGGCAGAGCACTAAAATGTGGGAGGCCCTGGATTCCGTAAAAGAAAAGAAGAAAAGAAAGGACAAGAAGGAAGGAAGGAGGGAGGGAGGGAGGGAAGG